TCCAAACCCCAGGAAAACCGGGAATCAGCACTGTGAAAACCAGGAATCAGCTGCCATTCCAAACCCAATAAAACTGGGAATCAGCCCCAGGAAAACTGGGAATCAGCCACCGTTCCAAACCCCAGGAAAACCAGGAATCAGTTGGGATTCCCAACCCTGGGAAAACTGGGAATCAGCCACCGTTCCAAACCCCAGAAAAAACGGGAATCAGCACTGTGAAAACCGGGAATCAGCTGCCATTCCAAACCCAATAAAACTGGGAATCAGCCCCAGGAAAACCGGGAATCAGCCACCGTTCCAAACCCCAGGAAAACCGGGAATCAGTTGGGATTCCCAACCCCGGGAAAACTGGGAATCAGCCATCATTCCAAACCCCAGAAAAACCAGGAATCAGCACTGTGAAAACCAGGAATCAGCTGCCGTTCCCAACCCAATAAAACTGGGAATCAGCCCCAGGAAAACTGGGAATCAGCCGCCGTTCCAAACCCCAGGAAAACCAGGAATCAGTTGGGATTCCCAACCCCGGGAAAACTGGGAATCAGCCATCATTCCAAACCCCAGGAAAACTGGGAATCAGCACTGTGAAAACCGGGAATCAGCTGCCATTCCCAGCCCCGGGAAAACCGGGAATCAGCATTGTGAAAACCGGGAATCAGCTGCCTTTCCCAGCCCCGGGAAAACTGGGAATCAGCCCCAGGAAAACTGGGAATCAGCTCCATTCCCAACCCAATAAAATTGGGAATCAGCCCCAGGAAAACTGGGAATCAGCCGCCCTTCCCAACCCAATAAAACTGGGAATCAGCCCCAGGAAAACTGGGAATCAGCTGCCATTCCCAACCCAATAAAATTGGGAATCAGCTGTCGCTCGTGCCCCCAGAAAAAACAGGAATCAGCCTCAATAAAACTGGGAATCAGCTGTCTTTCCCAGGACCAGGAAAACTGGGAATCAGCCCCAGGAAAACCAGGAATCAGCTGCCATTCCCCACCCAATAAAACTGGGAATCAGCCCCAGGAAAACCAGGAATCAGCTGCCATTCCCAACCCAATAAAACTGGGAATCAGCCCCAGGAAAACCGGGAATCAGCTGCCATTCCCAACCTCGGGAAAACTGGGAATCAGCCGCCCTTCCCAAACCAAGAAAAACCGGGAATCAGCACTGTGAAAACCAGGAATCAGCTGCCATTCCCAACCCAATAAAACCGGGAATCAGCCCCAGGAAAACTGGGAATCAGCCACCGTTCCAAACCCCAGGAAAACCNTTTTTTGAGGGAGCTGGGAATCGGGGTTTGCCCGGAATTCCGGGATTTTGGAGGTTGGAAAAGCATCAAACCCAACCCAAATCCCGGGAATTCCTTGGAAACCTCCAGGGATGGGGAATTTTCCCTCCCTGAGCCCCTTCTGGTGCTTCCCAACCCTTTTCCCATGGGAAAATCATCCCAAATTTCCATCCCTGGCACAGCTCGAGGCCGTTCCCTCTTGTCCTGCCCCGTTCCCAATTTGGGATCCCAATTTGGGATCGGATCCCAAATTCCCTCTGGCAGATCCCAAATTCCCCCTGGATCCCCCTTTTCTCCAGGCTGAACCCACCCCAATCCCTCAGGATTTTCCATTCCCTTTTCCAGCTGCTCCAGCCCCATTCCCATTTTTCCCAACCCTCTTTTTATTTGGGATCAGGTTCCTCTGGATCCAATCCTAACTCCAGCTTTATTTGGGATCACTCCCCCTGGATCCCAATCCCCATTATCCAAATCCTCATTATCCCAATCCCAGCCCTTTTTTTGGGATCAGCCCCCTGGATCCCATCCCATTATCCCAACCCCAGATTTTTTTGGGATCAGGTTCCCCTGGATCTGATCTCCCATTATCCCAATCCCCATTATCCCAGTGCCCATTATCCCAATCCCAGCTTTATTTGGGATCACTCCCCCTAGATCCCAATCCCCATTATCCCAATCCCCATTATCCCAACCCCAGCTTTTTTTGGGATCAGCCCCCTCTGGATCTGATCTCCCTTTATCCCAATCTCCCATTTTTCCCAACCCTTTTTATTTGGGATCAGGTTCCTCTGAATCCAAGCCTTGTTATCCCAATTTCCCAGCCCCTTTTTTTGGGATCAGGTCCCTCTGGATCCAAATCCCAGTTATCCCAATCCTGGCTTTTTTTGGGATCAGGTCCCCCTGGATCTCATCCCCCTTTATCCCAATCTCCCACTTTTCCAACCCATTTTATTTGGGATCAGGTTCCTCTGAATCCAATCCCTGTTACCTCAATTTCCCAGCCCTTTTCCCATTGGGATCAGGTCCCTCTGGATGCAATTCCCATTATCCCAGTGCCCATTATCCCAGTGCCCATTATCTCAATCCCAGCTTTTTTTGGGATCAGGTCCCCTTGGATCCAATCCCCCCTTTATCCCAATCTCCCATTTTTCCCAACCCTTTTTTTTTGGGATCAGGTCCCTCTGGATCCCATCCCCATTATCCCAGTGCCCATTATCCCAATCCCAGCCCTTTTTTGGGATCAGGCCCCCCTGGATCTGATCTCCCTTTATCCCAATCTCCCACTTTTTCAACCCATTTTATTTGGGATCATTCCCCCCTAGAACCAAGCCCTGTTATCCCAATTTCCCAGCCCTTTTTATTTGGGATCAGGTTCCCCTGGATCTGATCTCCCATTATCCCAATTTCCCAGCCCTTTTTATTTGGGATCNCAGGCTCTCGGCCTCCTCGTCCAGCCCGTGCGTGGCGGCCGTCAGGAACGCCAGGGACTCTGGAAAAACAACGGGAAATACTGGGAATGGCCACTGGGATAATGGGAATAACGGAAACAGCCAATGGAACAATGGGAATGGCCACTGGAATAAAGGGAATAGTGGAAACAGCCAATGGAACAATGGGAATGACCATTGGAATAATGGGAAATACTGGGAATAGCCACTAGAAAGATAGGAAACACAGGAAATAGCCACTGGAATAATGGGAAATACTGGGAACGGCCACTGGGATAATGGGAATAGTGGAAACAGTCAATGGAACAATGGGAATGACCATTGGAATAATGGGAAATACTGGGAATGGCCACTGGGATAATGGGAAATACTGGGAACGGCCACTGGGATAACGGGAATAACGGAAACAGCCAATGGAACGATGGGAATGACCACTGGAATAATGGGAAATACTGGGAATGACCACTGGAATAATGGGAATAGTGGAAACAGCCAATGGAACAACGGGAATGACCATTGGAATCATGGGAATGACCACAGGAATAATGGGAAATACTGGGAATGGCCACTGGAATAATGGGAATAGTGGAAACAGCCAATGGAATAATGGGAATGACCACTGGAATCATGGGAATGACCACTGGAATAATGGGAAATACTGGGAATGGCCACTGGGATAATGGGAATAGTGGAAACAGCCAATGGAATAATGGGAATGACCACTGGAATAATGGGAATGACCATTGGAATAATGGGAAATACTGGGAATGGCCACTGGAATAATGGGAAAGAGTGGGAGTGGCCATTGGAATAATGGGAATGGCCAGAGGAATAATGGGAAGTACTGGGAATAGCCATTGGAATAACGGGAAAAACTGGGAATAGCCACTGGAAAAACGGGAATAACCACGAGAATAAAGGGAAATATTGGGAACAGCCTTTGGAATAATGGGAAATACTGGGGACAGCCTTTGGAGTAATGGGAATAGCCATTGGAATACTGGGAATAGCCATTGGAATACTGGGAATAGCCACGGGAATACTGGGAATAGCCACGGGAATAACAGGAGTGATGGGAATAGCCACTAGAATAATGGGAACAGTGGGAAGAGCCACTGGAATAATGGGAATAGCCACTGGAATAAAGGGAATAACCACTGGAATAATGGGAATAGCCACTGGAATAATGCAAGTGTGTGGGGATCCAAGAGCCCTTCCCGAGCTTCCAGGGCAGAATTCCCTTTGGGAACAACTCCCTGTGCCCGGAATTCCTGTCGGGAAGGACTCCCCATGGCCACAATTCCCGAATTCTCATCGGGAAGGACCCCCCGTGCCCGGAATTCCCGGGATTCCCTTGGGAATGGCTCACTCTGGCCGCAGTTCCGCAGGATCCGCACCCTCTCGGCCACGTCCCCCAGGTACAGCGCGTTCTGGTAGTGCCCGCTCATGTCCTTCCGGATCTCCGCTGGAAAAACGGGAAAACTGGGAATCAGCCACCCTTCCAAACCCCAAGAAAACCAGGAATCAGCACGGTGAAAACCGGGAATCAGCTGCCATTGCCAACCCAATAAAACTGGGAATCAGCCCCAGGAAAACCGGGAATCAGCACTGCGAAAACCGGGAATCAGCTGCCATTCCCAAACCAAGAAAAACCGGGAATCAGCCCCAGGAAAACTGGGAATCAGCCACCATTCCCAGCCCCAGGAAAACCAGGAATCAGCCCCAGGAAAACCGGGAATCAGCCACCATTCCCAGCCCCAGGAAAACCAGGAATCAGCCCCAGGAAAACCGGGAATCAGCTGCCATTCCCAACCCAATAAAACTGGGAATCAGCCCCAGGAAAACTGGGAATCAGCCACCGTTCCAAACCCCAGGAAAACCAGGAATCAG